CCCTCCAGGACCAGGACTGGACAGCCCTGTGGACACACTGACTGAACTTCCAGGACCAGAATTGGCTGCAGACACACTGACACATCCAGGAGCAGGATAGTTGACCCCTTCCTTATACTTTGGGGATACATTTGCATCAATATTGAGTTTTGCTCCACTCAATCAGCTGAACTCTGGGATCTTTGTTACACTTGTAGCCTGACCTCAAATTTGAAAACTCCTGCTGGTTATTGGATGTGTTTGTTGACTTGTTTCAATTAAGCCAGTAATGAGCTGATTCAAGTGATATTAATCTATTTTGCAGTTTCCTCCTCTGTATTTATATCTCCATGCATTTCTGATTTCATTATTTCTGCTTGGAACTGTTTGAGGAGAAACATTCTTTCCTCACGCCAGCAGCACCAGATTCTGAAAAGACCTTTTCACAGCCCAGCACTGAAACAATATGGGGAAGTTTTGTGGCGTGACGCCATGGGCTTTCTCCAGTACATAGGTGCAGCAGTCATTTCCTTCCCCCGGACGCTTCCTGCGACGGAGCTTGCGAGAAGTTCTTCCTCTTCAGGAGTTACTGTTCTGAGTTTTTAAAGGGAAAGGAGAATAACCACCAAAAGAGCAGAAGAGAGTGGAGGAGAAGCAATTTACGTGGACCCTCAGGAAGTGAGAATAAAGAACAAAATGATATGAGTCCTTTAATTTGTAACACCACCCCTCCCCAAGAGCCCCCCATCCAGCACACTAAAGCAGAGCAGTGGCTGGCCCACAATCACCACCTTGCCCTGTACAAGCGAACACCCCCCATGAGTGATTTAGGGCTCCAAACAGCCAGTTGGAGAGCTGGCAGACTATGGGAGTGCTGGAGCTGGAGAGAGGGAAGGGGAAGCTGAAACAGAAAAACAGAGTGAAGCGGAGCGCTCTTGGCAGCAGAGGAGGGCCTCTCTGTGGGAAATCGAAAGCAGGGCATTGCCAGGAGCAACGCGAAGGATTTCAAGGCCACCAGGGCGACTGACCCATAGCAACGCTGCAGGGGGTCAGCTGATCCGGGGGAAAGCCGGACAGGGAGGTGTGAGTGGAGAGAGGGGAGGTGGCCTTTGAATTCAAGTCCCGCAAACAGTCAGATCCCAGATGTGCTGTGTGCTCGGGAATGTGGCTTTGGGAACCATGGTTACTGCCCACCCCCCGCCCCCCTGAGCCAATAAAAAAAAGAAAAACAGGCTAAATTCAACCAGAGAGCCAGCCGCCGGGGAGAGGACAAACACACAACACAACAATACAACCTCTGTGTTTCTGGGGAAAGGTCTGCTAACAGCTCAGCTGGGGAAAAAGACCAGCAGGACAAGGCGTCACACACACAGGGAGAGCCCGATACAGCAGGAGATGTGCACGACTTTCTGTCGTGACATGATGTCAGGAAACACTCCTATTTGTCTGATCAGTTTTGGGTGTCGTCATGGAGCAAGGGGAGGCCTGTGAATGTGTGGCCACAACACCCATGATGCGCCACGTCCTGCGCTCCATTACCAGCTGGGGCTACTTTCTGTGTGGCACTTGCATGTTATCCCGGTGCTGTTTGGGTGGGGCTGTCCAGGCATGGAGGACCCGTCAGTGGGGCTGCAGGGGTGGCAGAATAACAGAACTGTGAAATAAAAGGAAGGAAGCTTCTTTTTCCCCAGAAACGCTGTTGAACAATGGTATCACACACTGTATGCTGAACACGACACTTTCAACACTACGTCTCATCCCCAGCTGTGTCAGTTCCCTCTTCCCTTCTCTGATGTCCTGATATTCTCATATACTGGGGACTGAGCTGGACTCTGGAGAGCAGTGTAGTTGTCGCTGTCCTGTGGGCTCTGAAAGACACCAAGTCACAGACACACTGTCACACTGGGGCTGCTGTACTGAACACAACACTGAGGACTGGAATGTTTTAAAGTAATAAAGATACTATAGTAAACACCTTCCTGAAGGATTGATTAGATTAACATTTTGTTACATGCACAGGCAGATGCTGCTGCAATTAGAAAAAACTTTCCTCCTACTGCCAGACACCCTCAGAGTGTTGTTATCAGAAGACATAGCTCTCAAGTCCAGTGCTGTGTTACTGAGTGGATCAGACTTCTCCCCCTGTGAAGAGACACAGGGCAGAGCGGAGAATGAGTTTCTTGAAGGATTATTATTGCTACTTTTAGAAAACTATGTAATTTAAGCAAATAAACTCTTGCAACTCACTCTGCCACCTTCTGGTAAGGGATAGAAATGACATTTAGCTTCTCTTTAACCTTTGATCTGCTGGAAGTCTAAACATTATGAGTGTGCACCTGTGTAGGAAGTTTATTCTGCTGTATTTTATTTTGGAAACCTTTGCTCTGTGTAGCTGTTTTCTCTGCTGCTGTGATGAGTGTAGAAGAGTAGACATGTGATGGGAAATATTGCTCCTCTGCTCTAGACTGTGTTGAGAAAGATGGTCTTATTTGCTGGCGAGGAGGGATCAAGCAGTCGAGCAGCAGAATGGCCATTTCTCTGTGATGACCTGTCCTCAGTTTGCATGTCCTCAGTGCAGACGCCTCCACAGCTGGCTGCTTGGATGGTGCTGTCTGGGACGGGCGTGATGCTCACTCTCGGATCAGCTCCTGCAGGCTCTTACCTCAGTCTGGGCTCCTCCAGTGCTGCTGTCCTGTGTGGGCGGGGCAGTCACCCTCCTGTAGAGGACAAGGGGTCAGTGGTGAAGTGGTCAGGGACAGAGAGACCAGCTGTAGCAGAGTGGACACTCACCTTCTGATCAATAGGATTATTAGGACGGCCAGCAGCAGCACAACAACAGATCCCACAGCCGCCACCAGTGCTGTTAATAGAGTGCAGCCTCTGGCTGGGAAACAAGAAAATAGAGAGATTTCCTTGTCTAGATCACTTACATCAAATCTCAGATACAGGTGTATGTACAATACATACAGATCTGAGGGAGTTTCAGGATTAAATACAGATTATCACAACAAACAAAAAGTACAGTGAAGGAAAAAAGGCAGTACCATCTTGAAATATCAAAGATGGAGTTCTATCCCAAAACATGACCAATGACATTGACATTAGAGGAAGTACTCCACATTTCCAAAATATATAAAAGACTGCAGAACTTACACACTACAAGAGTCACAGCAGCAGATCTGCAAGCTCCCATGTTATTCTGTGCTTCACAGTAGTACTGTCCACTGTCTGCAGAGCTGACCTCTGCAATAGTTAAACTCTGCCCTGATTCCATCTTCCAGACTCCAGCACCACTGGTCTTAAACCAGGTGTAGTTCTTCACCCGAGGGTTTGCAGTGCTGCTGCAGGTCAGGGTGACAGAACTGCCTTCTGCTATTGCACCAGAGGGGCTGATGGACACTGAGGTGCTTTTGGTGGCATACAGCAGATATTGGAATTCTGGGTAAAACGG